GACAAGCGGGGACGATGGCGCTGAAGCGGATCCAGAAGGTAAGGGGCCGTTCCACCCTACGATTCCTTGGGTGTTTCAAGGGTCACGGCGCGGACAAGCTCCGTCACGTTGAAGTGACCTGCGGCTGAGGCGCGACCGGGCGCACCAACACCTGCCGGAGAGGCAGGTGGAGCCGCCGCGGGCGCAACCTTTTAAGGGAGCGGCTCGTGCGCGGGGCGGGCCCTACTTACGTGGGCGGAGTCGCGCGGCGGGGTCACGTGCGCGCCCGCGGAGGGCGGGAGGGGAACGCTGAGCTCCGCCCGGGGAGGAAAGAGCCCCAGCTTTTCCCTGAGGCTTGGGGGAGGCGCTGGGGGGCGTTGGAGTAACAGGTTTATGTCCCGTGGGTAACCGGGAGGCCTGGTAGGTGTTGAGTTCGTCAAAGTAGAATTTAGAAACTGCACAGTTGAAAAAAGTATTTCCAGTTTTGCCTCCTCATCGTTAGTTCATCTTTTAGCTTATTTACTTTCAGGCTTTTTCTTGTACTTTAAAAAAGTGTTAGTGATGTTGTATTCTCTGCCATGTTTTCACATAGCATTAAATATCAGCACTTTCCATATTGTGAAATAATATTCATAATCGTAATTTTTAACATCCCACAAGTCCATGCCCGGTAGTTTATGTACTCATTACTTGGAGTGGGTGTCAGATAAACCTAGGTTGTAGTCTTAGAGAATACACAATCATTTGCAGTGGGACCTCAACGAGGTGGTGAATCATTCCTGACCTCCCTGTGCTACGTGGTTAGAGTTATCTTGAAGAATTAAATGAGATGATACATGCCTAGCACATAGTTAACAAGCATATGACAAGTGGTCAAATATGAGTTAACTCTCGTTTTTATTACAAAATTTTTTTAAGCTGTGATGTGATGAGCACCACTGTGCAGGGAGCTTTGTTTCAGTGATTGTGTGTTTTGAGAGGGGTCTTGTTACCCAGGCTGCCCTCCAACCTCTTGGACTCAAGGGATCTTCCTGCCTCAGCCTCCGGAGTAGTTGGGACTACAGGCACTTGCCCAATTTAGCCATTTTCTTAATTCATATGATTAGGTTTGATTGCTGGAGGTGGAATTACAGGCTAAGAACATGCCTTTTTTTTTTCCTTTTGGTATGAGGGATTCAACCCAGGGTGTCAGGCTTGCTAGGCAAGCCCTCTATCACTGAGCTACATTCATAGCTTTATAACTTGGTTTGATTATTTGTTTTCTGGTATTTTCTTTTTCCTTTTTTGGGGGGGACAGGGTCTTGCTGTATAGTTCAGGCTGTTTTTTTGTTTGTTTGTTTGTTTGTTTGGTATCAGGAATCGAACTCAGGACCTTGTGCTTGCCAGGCAGGCACTTGTGCTGCTGAGCTATATTCCAGGCCCCACTGCTGGCTGACCTTGAACTCATGGTGATCCTCCTGCCTCAGTCTCCCAAGTGCTGGGATTATAGGGGTGTGCCACCACACCTGGCTCTTTTTAATACTTTTTTTTTTTTTTTCCTTTGTATTTTTGAGACAACCTCTCACTGTGTAGTTCAGGCTGTCCTCAAACAGTGATCCTCCTCCTTCAGACTCCCGAGTGCTGGTATTACAGGTGTGTACCGCCATGCTCAGCTCAATACTAATCTTTGGGGCTGGGGATTTAGCTCAGCGGCAAAAGCGCCTGCCTGGCAAGCGCAAGGTCATGAGTTCGGTTCCTGGTACCGGAGGGGGGAAAAAAAATACTAATCTTTTTAGCAGATAAGCTCTCCTCTGCTCCAAATTTATAGGATCTAATTTTATAGGAGCTTGTTTTTTGGTGAAACTTAAAATTTTTAAAATCACTCAGGTGTACTATTTGCTCTTATTACTCAATGTAGAGCTGGCTAAAAGCTCACAACAGTACCTATGTCACAGCCTCAATTTTGGGCTCCCTTGAAATTTCCTCTGCTAGAAAAATTAATCCCCTACCCTTAATTTGAATCTCCCCACATAGTCTCAGGACATGGGTAAAATGTGGATAAATTTTCTGCCAGAATATAACACACATGTCCTAGAGCTCAGCTGCCAGTGGAGTCCTTGTTCCCACCTGGAACCTCCTGAGCCTGGCCTTTACTATCTACTTTGCTGCCAGCATTCTGCTCTTCTGAGCTCTGACCAGAATCCCCCATCAACCTCAGAGTACAGCATTGTAGGCCTTCTCCAGCCAGCATCTCCAAACCTTTCCAGACTCCTCCCTCAAACTAGTGCCAAAGACTTCTGAACCAAAATGTTGGGATAGGCACAGCAACAGACCCACTTCCAGGGCCAAAATGTCTTCATCACTGTTTTCATCGCTAAGACACAGTACCTAACACCCATAATTTAAAGGAGAAATAGCTTATTTTGGCTCACATTTTTAGTCTGTGGTTGCCCGGCTGCCTTTGAGTGCATGAGGCTTTGGGGGGGGACATCTGAATCTAAACCATAACATAAATTGTCCCTATATGTGTGTATTGGCTCATGACAATTCAGTGGAGGTAAGCATATTGTTGATACTAATATATGCATTGAGTTTAAGTGCTTTAAAAATATCTTTAACGGGGGCAGTGGTGCACATCTTCAGTCTCAGCTACTCAGGAGGCTGAGGTAGGGCAATCAAAAGCAAATATAAGAAGACCCTGTTTCAGTATAAAATACAGTGTACATGCCTATAATTGCAGTGCTCTGGGAGGCTGAAGCAGGAGGGTAGAATTCAAGCTCAGCCTAGGCAATTTAGTGAATTAGTGAGATTCTGTATCAAAATGAAAAAGTGGCTGGGGATGTAGCTCATTGGAAAAGCCCTGGTGTCAATCTTCAGTACCACAAAAAAAAAAAAAAAAAAAAAAAAGAAGAAGAAATGGAATGAATAAACGGGCACAGTAACAAAGAGAATAAGTTTTATGACTAGAACAAATATTTGTTGTTGGAGGAAAGACAGTGGTTTCCTTTTCCCATGCCACGCAGCCAAGTGTTTCACAGACCCCAGAGAGAAGGTACCACCATCCTACAACTGGTGTGGCTGGGCCCCTTCTCCCTGCTGGGATCCTTGCCAAATGTGTATCCTGGGACTTTTCAGGGTGAGTTATCGGTCAAACTCCAGAAACAGCAGTGAGGACTAAGAAGGGCTGCGTCGTCATTCCCGGAAGGCACAGTAGTGGTTCTGTGTGGAGGTTGGTGACAGTCTTCAGCTCCAAATGTGAAGAAGTTTTAGAAATACCTGAGCAAATCTGTGAATTTTTTTCATATATTTTTGCTCTTTTCTTTTTGGGCATGTATGAGTGATTCTTGTTGTGCTTTTTTTTTTTTTT